AAGTGTTATATACAAAAACAACAACAAAAAAATCTGTCTCAGTCCCAACTGGCCCACATGAGACTAGGTAAATAATCACAATCTCCCGGAAACAGAGACTGTGACCAGGGCCTCTTCAGAGGGAGCTAGTGCTGACTCTCCTTATCCTGAGCACCCTTTCCCCTGCCTTCCTCCTCCCTTGTATACGCTTCAGGTTCTCAGTGATCACTACAAATATGGACTGATCCCTGACAGCACCTAAAACCAAGGACATTCCAGATATCTATTTTACCTGCCAACTGTTAAGGATAAATGAGGCGACCACAACTGACTGCAATTGCTGGCTCCTCCGTACGGTCTATAAAGACCAGTCTACTATTTCTAGAACTGAGATTCTCATAGAGGGGCAGGGAGAAACACCCCAGGACCCTTTCCAAACTCCAGGAATCCCACCTCCAGTTTCTGACTTGCATTGGTTGAGAATCCTCCCAGCTGTGGTAACGCACAGGAAAAGAGCTGTGAAACCCCTCGGGAGGCAGTCCTGACCAAACAACCATCCAATTCTAAGATTCCACTGGTTTCATATACCCCAAAGAAAACAAATCTTCAGTTTAAAAATTTTTGCTAGCTCAAAAATGAATTCTTATCTTCCTAACACTGCCAAATGCCATAGAGAATATAAAAACAGAACTTCGGAGTTAGTTATTATAGTTTAAAATACATGTACTTTTTCCAAGGTCAAATAAAAAACTAAATCACAAAGGCACTGCAGACCAAAACACCCATCACTACCTTGGTGATCTCTCAAAAAATTTTATAGTTAGAAACCTTAAGATAATTAGCTGTTGCAGAGCTCTGAAGCACATTATTTTCATTCATCTTCAGCACAGGAAACACCAATTAACCCAGTGAAGGGCATAAAGCAAGTGGCACATGCTGAGATCTGTCTTTACAGTGACTTTGAGGACAGCACGGTTTGGTAAACAAATGAACAGTTTAAGACAGAGGACTGTCCTATCTATGAAGGGCTCCTCTGACACCATGCCCTCTCCTTGAGAAAAGTCTTCACTCTAGCTTAATTCACACTTGCTATAGACAATCACACTGGGGATTTTCCCAATCCATCTGCTTACTTAAAGGGCTTGCTTTTATTTGTTGAGCTGATAGAAAGCTAAGGGCTTTCAAGACTTAGTAAGAGCAATTCCTCCAAAATACTTTCCGACAAGAATGGAAACAACTTCCTGGAACAAAGCAAATGGTGATGCCAGCAAGCAGGCATTCGTTAACATTCTTTGGCCAAATAGCCTTGTCTTGGTAGCCAAGAACGGAGTCTGGGAAACACAAATTAGTCAATTATCAACTCTCTACTCGTAGATGAACTAGTCAGAACACCTAAAAAGGTCATCTCATGTCATTTCAAGTAGGGTGCTAGGATTCCTCCCTCCTGGTCCTGGTAATGAGAACATGCCTGGTGACGCTAAAAGGCAATTCCACACCAAATCAAGGTGAGTCATCTAATGGGCTCCAAAGTCTGGAAGATTTCTGGCCTATCTGTTTCGGATTCTCTAAGAAAATGCATCCCCTCATTAGTATATATGATTGCAAGTTAATAAAACAGTAAAGTCCAAAGTTTAATTCACTGGACATTATTGTGAAATCAGGAAGAGGTATATAAAATGGAATTTCCTCCTCTCTGTACCTAAGGGTTTAAAAAAGGCTTGTCCAATTTGTCATCAGAGAGACACTTAGCAAAACAATGAAATATCTGAGCTCTGTGGCCACAGAGAGCTGCAACTATTATGAACAGTAACAGAAGGCTCAATATTACTAACCTTCCCATAAGAATTTTAAAAAATATAATAAATAAATAAAACCAAAAAAGCTGATCAACTTATTTTGTCAAAGTCACTTGCAGGAATCTAAGCAAACACTGAAACCCTTAAATATTCAACTCTAAGCCCTTCCCCTTTTGTCTCCTGCAAACACCAAAGGGCACACAGTCCCGGCCCTCCTCAGAGAGGGGGCACCGTGTGTATACCTCCTCAGCAGCACTGCAGCTTTCTTTCTTTTTTTTTTTTTGGGGGGGGGGGCTGGTAA